TAGGCATACCCAGTTCCTGCAACCGTTCTTCATATGTTTTAGCCTCCAGTCCCCTGATCATCTTTGTTGCTCTTCTCTGCTCAAACAAAGGAGGATCTCAATGTACACTTTAGCTGTGGCTCTGAAACATATGTACTGGCTCTTTTACATCTGCAGCATCTGCACTGATGTTTAATGTAAAAAAGAAAGATAATATTTTGAGAGTTGTGGAGTATGAAAGACTTCTGACCTTTGTGGTTTTTAAGAACCAACACAACACCCGTTTCAGATCTTCTGGATCACCTTCAGAAGGTAATCACTTTCAGTATAGTATACCTTTAGGAATGAATTAGAAAAAAAAACTAGCATTATAGCACAATGTTTCTCAACCTTGGCGACTTTAAGTCCTGTGGACCTCAACTCCCAGAATCCCCCAGCCAGCACAGCTGGCTGGGGAATTCTGGGAATTGAGGTCCACAGGACTTAAAGTCGCCAAGGTTGAGAAACACTGTTATAACATATACCAGCGGTGAGTGAACACAGGCGAACGGGCAGCTCCATTTGCACAAGTGGCAGGCACTCGGGCTCACCCATAGCTCTAGCTCTGTAAGGGGTAGACACTCATGTAAATGGACCTGTGCACCTGCCTGCCGCTCACATGCCAAACCCAAAAAGGTGGGGACCACTGCAATTCAAGCTGACCAGGTGATAACCCAAGAATTGCTCTCTTTTTCAGATAGACCTCAATTCACATGTTTACAGATGTCTCTGTAAATGCAAGGGTAGATGATGTCAAAGAATGATACAGTTTCCAAACAATTGTACAGATCTCAGCTGATCGTTCAAATGGATTGAAGCCTTCTTGCCAACCTTTGGCTTCCGTCAACAGAGTAGAGTATTTATCCACCGCTGTTTCTCTGTGGCTTGGATCAAAAAAAGATCTAAAACATAGTCCATTACCTTACTAAGTTGGCACAAGGTCCCGGCCACCGGCAGCTCTGATAAACCCTTTGGATTACTGTCTCCGAGCCATTCTGCACTTGACAGGAAACCGTCCGGGTGACGGTGTAGTGGCACCAATGACTGTGGAATAGAACACAAGGCAAATTCTGTTATTCATGTTTAATGACTTGTTTTAGTGGTAGTTCACTCCAAATTCCAAAGACAAGCCAACAAGTACAAATTACCAGACTAAGACTGAATGCATGCCCAGGGTCCCAAGCTTGAGCACAAAGTCAGGTTTACGAGTCCTTATTAAAGGCCAAACAGGAATGGGGCCAATATAATCTTGGGGATGGGAGGTGATAGTGATAACAGTCTAAGGGGAAGGGGTGCTATTGAAGTCAGAAAAGGCTGACTTCGGGGCCCTGCCAGCCAACATTCCCTATTGCAGGGATATCAAACTCAAGGCCCGCGGGCCAGATGTGGCCCATGAGGTGGCTAGATCTGGCACGCAGGACTGCCCAAGAAACAGCGAAGGACTGACCCAGGCTGACCAGGTGTTGATCTGCAACCTGGTGGTGTCCATCTGGGCTGGACCGCAGCCAGTCTTAGATCCCGTCTCACCTACTGGAGACCCCTAATTCCTCCCCAACCTCACCTGGCCCCTGCAGGTGCCTCTCACATGAGCAATGTCAAGCTGGCCATGCCCAGTCAGCCACCCTCCCAAGCTCCGTTTTCGCTGGCAGAGGGTTGCAGGAGGCCATCCCTGTTGAAAATGGAGCTCAGGAGCCTGTTTTCGCTGGCAAAAAGCTTGGGCCCTGACACAAGTGACATCAAGCTGGCTACGCCCACTCTGGCCATGCCCAGCCCAGCCCCTGGAGGACAACCGCAATGCTGATCCGGCCCTCAATGAAATCAAACCCCGCCCTATTGGATGTTGCCCAGAGCATGCCCTTCTTGCCAGATTAGAAAGGATAGAGAAAATGGCCCCATAAATGACTCAATCCTAAACTACAAAAGACTTTTAAAGGTTGCACCCAGAAACACACTTTGGCACCAGTATGCCAAAGTCATTAGTTCAAACTTTAGAATATTCCTCAAGGACAGTTCCATGTGAAGCATATTGTAGCAGTCCTAGCGGGAGGACGCAAGCGGATGAATGATTGTAAACAGCGCTCTCTGATTCAGGAATGAATGAACTGGCCCAAAGCCCTGAGCTCTGTAAAGAACCTCCTGGCCATGGCTACCATCTGAGTCCAGGAGGACTCCCAGATTGAGCATCATGTATGCCTGGGACAGTGGCAGCCCAATCAAAGATGAAAGGTCCCTGAAACCAGAAGGTCCAAAAACCCAGAGCCATTAAGTCTTGCTTGAACTGAACTAAAGCTGGTTATATTCTACCAGGCCCCCACCGGCTCCACGCTCTGAACCTCGATAGTACTACTCAGGCAGCCTGGGGTAGAGATATTGATAGGTAAGCTCCCCGTTGGGAGCGCAAGTACATTCAGCGAAGCGTTGTGAGAGTTGTGTTGGAGAACACACAAAGCAGCATACAGAGACACTGCAACACCAAAGTTTGGATGACCTCAGCCAGCAGCTTCGTGCAGATATTCAGTAGGGGAGATTCTCAATCATACAGGTCATGGTTATCCCAAGGGTGCTTTTCCAAAAGGCAACTAGACTTTCTTGATTTTTTTTCCCTTGAAAATGTTTTGCTTCTCATCCAAGAAACTTCTTCAGAACTAGGATGAAAAGTAAAATGTTTTTTTTTGGGGGGGGGGGACCAAAAGAATCCAGTTACCTTTAGGAAAAGCACCCTTGGGACCTCAACTTATAACTGTTCATTTAGCAACCATTCAAAGCTACAATAGCACTGAAAAAAGTGGGTCATGACCAGCCCTCACGTTTACAACTGTTGTAGCATCGGCAGGATCATGTAATCGTCATCTGTAGCCTTTCCAGCTGGCTTCCAACAAGCAAGGTCAACACAGGAAGCTGAATTCACTTAATGACCGCATGATTCCCTGAAAAAGCTGCCATGATTTGCTTAACAACTGTGGCAACAATGTTGTAAAATTGGGCTCAACTCATTTAACACCTGCCTTACCCAGCAACAGAAATTGAGGGTTACCTGTAGCTGGTGGTTGATCTGCTAAACTTTCTCTGCTAACATTTCTTATGCTCTTGTCATCTTAAACATATATCCAGATAAATGTAATGCCGGCCATCCCTGAGCTACATTTAGTAAATGCATGGCACTACAGGAAGCCTTCAATATCGCTGGCTCAGACTGACAAGCTGGCCATCTTTTCCTTGCCAGGAAATGCCAAGATAGGAAGATGAAGTAGAAAATATACTAAAGGAGGATTAAACTTTACAAAGATTTGACACTGAGGAGGGAGAACCTAGCTGTGTTTACATTACCCAATGCAGTTAAAATTTTGCATCCTGGGATGAAGGATTTCCTAGCAATAAAACAAGCAAGATAATTAAAAGCTTCTTTCTCGGTCCCTTGGATGCATCTTTTCATCTTTATGGGAATGACTCATGGCTTTGACCTCATGGGGCTGTAATTTTATGACAAAGGAAGAGATTTTTTTTTTAAAAAAAACTTTCACGTGAATGAGGACTTTTGCAGGGAAAAAAATCTGCAACATCCAAGACAAAAATGCCCAGTTCACTTCAACCTTCTCTAGTTGGAAACATCTTTCTTTAAAATATATATAGCACTTATAGTTAGATTCTAAATTTACCCTAGATGGAATGACTGCCATGACATTAAAGTTTTTTTAAAAAAATACAAAAGGAAATTTAAAAATGTATTATTCCATGCTTCACAGAGACATCCAAGAATAGATAACGGTGAAGGGGAATTATTAATTTATAATCTATTAAATATCACCTTAAAAAAGAACAAGCAAAAATGAAGAATGGAAGCAACAATTTCACAATTCCAAACACATCTAAATGTAGGAAAAGGTCGTATCATAGTTAAATGCTAAAAAAACCTAGGCCTAGTTCTTTTTCTCGTGGGGGCCGTTAGGATGTTTCTTCTGCTCCATATAAAGTGAATGAGGAAAATTTATGGTGGGACAAGAAAGATTTCCTCAAAAATTACACTTAAGGTAACTGTTTAAATGATGTCTAAAGAGAGAAAAACCATTAACAAAACATAAAGAAGGATGCCAATATTTTTCTTTTTAAACTGTTGGAAATTATAGTATCTAGAAAACATACAAATAGACTCACAGGTTACTAAATAAAAATGTAAAATTGCAGGAATAAGGGGAAAATCCATTTACATTGGTCCCTTGGTACTCAACTGCTTTGAAACTCATCAAATTTAATATTCAACATACTCCCAGTACTCATTGTTTCTTTTGGTACTCAACGCATAAGCTCAATGGTGGGATTCCATCCACTTAACAACCAGTTCGCCGAAGAAAGTGAGTGTGCGTACATGTGTGCATGCAAAACTTCTCTGCAGGTGCGTGCGCACAGCTTCCATGCATGTGCAGCTTCTGACACGCGGCGAGGGTTGACCGAGCAGCTTTTAGGGGCTGTTCCGCTCCATCTCCGCAATCCAGGGCAGTGGCTGCTTCTCTCTGCTGCTGCTCTTGCTGCGAGAGAGCACGTCTCTTGTACAATTTAGCAGCTGTGAGCCGTCGCTTTCCTCTAAGTCCCATCCAGAAAGTGTGCAGCACAGAGAAGCAGCAGCCATATTGAATACTGGTTCTCTATGCTGCGCACTTTCCAGATGGGACTTAGAGGAAAGCGGCGGCTCACAGCTGCTAAATTGCACAAGAGACGCTCTCTCTCCCAGCCACAGCCCCAGCGGAGAGAAGCAGCTGCTGACCCAGAGATCACATGGAGCATCTCCGCGAGTGAATGAACCTTGGCAAGGGATGGCTGCAATATCTCCACTGCAGCGCTTCAGGTAAGAAGAACCATCCAGTAGTTTGAGGCCAGAAGGGGGCAGAGGCATGCGGGCGGAGGCCCGGGGCAAGGCTGGAGCTGGGAAATGGCACATCCCCCCACCTGGCTGAGATTGGCGGCAAGCAGACAGTGGCTCTGGGGCAAAGCCGGAGCCAGGGAATGGTGTGTCCCTGGGCCCTGACCTGAGATGAAAGGCGAGCGGGTGCCTTGCTTGCCTTTGGTGAGCAGAGCAGGTGAGGCACAGAGAATAGCTGGATAGCAATAGCAATAGCAGTTTGACTTATATACCGCTTCATAGGGCTTTCAGCCCTCTCTAAGCGGTTTACAGAGTCAGCATATTGCCCCATAGTCTGGGTCCTCATTTCACCCACCTCGGAAGGATGGAAGGCTGAGTCAACCCTGAGCCAGTGAGATTTGAACCGCCGAAGTGCAGATAACAGTCAGCTGAAGTGGCTGCAGTACAGCACTCTAACCACTGCGCCACCTCGGATGGTCTGGACCGTGTGGCAAAGGGAAAATAATATATAGGGCAGGACAGGGCGGGGCTACCCGGTGGTCAATTTTACCAATTCTTCGAACTGCTCAAAATCGTAACAACTGGTTCACCCGCACCAGTCCGAACTGCCTGAATCCCACCCCTGCACACTAGAACTTATCGGTGTCAGCTGCCTTGTGATTCACTACATTATTCCTTACAGGAAAAACTTGTTTGGTACTCATTGTTTTGGGTAGCCATCGCACCTCCCAGAACCAATTAAGGATGAGTACTGAGGTATCACTGTATTTTTCTTGAAAACCATTGGACCAAATGAATTATATGCAATATATACTTACTTTTTAAAGTACCCTTTTTAGCAGTGATTTTCAATCCTAGCAGCTTTAAGATGCGTTGATTTCAGCTTCCAGACTCCCCCAGCCAGCAAGCACTGCTTCTCAACCTTAGTAACTTGAAGATAAATGGACTAGAACTCCCAGAATTCCATGCATCCGGGAGTTGCTAAGGTTGAGAAACACTGCTTTACAGTTCTAAATAAATGGATGCTACTGCCAAGGCCTATCCCATTTCCCAGTGCCTTGAGATTCAGTGTAAGACAGGGACATATTGACCTACCACTATATATGTGTGTTTCCCAACCAGGAGAACTTCCAGATGTGTAACTTCAACTCCCAGAATTCCCTAGCCGGTTTGGCCGTTGTGGAGAATTCTGGGGGCTAAAAGCCACACATCTGGAAGTTACTGTGGTTGGGAAAGACTGTTCTATATCAAAAGTTAACAAAAGCAAGCAAGGCCATGAGCTAAGAAACCAAACCCTCCTCTTGTGAAAACGA